CACCCCCTATCAGTCTCTCATATCTTTAAAGTTATCATTACCTTCTAAAGTTCAAGTATGACACTATGGACTCTATAATCAATCCCAGTTTCACGTTAGTTGACATCTAACTCAAGTCTCAATGCTTTCCCCAACTTGACAAGAGTGCTGTTCTAAATCACACAGAAAATTATAAAAATTATACGAGTTATCATTTTGTACATTTGTATATCATGGCATTCACTCAGTAATTCATGGACCACTAGAGAATCTTGTGTAAGAAGTTGTAGTTAATAAAGCTGCAGAAATGAGCTCCTTAGTTGTCTGATGAGAAATCTTACAGATTCTAGGCCACAAAGCAAAAGGAACAAACTAACAAAATCTTCCTTTTTTGCTAATCGCAAAATAACAAGAACTCTGTGTCCACCCCCCTCCCCGTTCTTTTGAAAGTAGCCCCCCCCCCAAAAGAACAGGAAAGCAGAAACTCAAGAAGTTTTTCACTTTTCCTGTGCTCTCTACATTATTATTTATACCACTTTAACATTTCTTCACATTTCCACTATCCGAGAAATCAGATGATTTAATCTACTTGAACAGGGCATCTAATATTATTATTACTCTTTCATGACTTACAGAACCTTAACAGAGAGAAAAGCTGCAGGCCCCCTTGGTAGCTTTCACTTTTGTTTTTGATTCCCCGGCCCCCTGCTCTTTAGAGTCTTAAAAAGTCTCTAATCCCCTAAATATTGCTGAAGATTTTTATTTTTTAATGATATTTGGGGCCCTCAGTTAGGCATAATCTTTCTTCTGAGGTAGATCTCACAGGGTAATCAACTGCTACTAAATTATTTGATAGGTTTTGAAGTAAGTTTCCATCTTATTCCAAAGCTTATTTTGGAATAAGTTTTCATTTACACTTTCTCAGACTGCTTACAGCATTCAGCCATAAAAAGCATCTGCAGTCATGACAATTAGAGGAAGCAGGAACGTAAAATGAGACACTAATGCTGTTCCTCTTACACAGAGCGCGTGCCGCACAGTGCACTTCTTTTTCTGAAAGTTTTCGGTAGTCAAGCATTTTGCTTGTCATAACAACATAATGGGGAAGTTTGTATATCTAAGAGAACATTCTGTTTCATATGGTTAAAAACTGCACCGTGAGAAGCATTTCCATGAACGTAAGTGTGGGGAGCCAGCTGGGGCTCTTTAACCTCGTGTTTCAGTGATATTTTTGATAAGAGATTCATGATGGGATAGAAGCACTAACTGTGTGTCAGAGGCGACTGTGGGCCTTATGTTCATGTCCTGAGCAAGGGCTCCCAATGCCAGCATTTCTCCTCATGTGTGGCACAGCCACTTAAAAGAAAATAGCCCTCCTTGTTTTCTCCATAATATGAGGAAAAGTGTTAGCCCTTGGGAAATTCAAATAGATACACCCCTTTACTTTGTTTTTTCATTTTGCTTATGAGTCTCCCTAAACCAGAAGAGAGCTAGCAGTTTATTTGGTTTGTATCCATATAACTTTACCCGCAGAATGTCTTTAGTTTTCATGCAGTGTGATACGGCTTTTGCTTTCAACTGCTATATTTATTTATATATTTTTATCTTTTTATTTATTTATCTTTATTGTTGAAAGTATTACAGATGCCCCCCTTTTTCCCCCCATTGATTTAATCACTGCTCCCTCTAATTTCATCTGTTATGCAAAGGTGAATACTTAGAAGTTGTTCTCTGTCTCTCTTTTTTAATCTCAGAAGAGGTTTATTTCCTCAGAAAAATCAACATCCAAAAGTCAGTACCACCTCCATCAGATGGGTAGCATCCCCACTGGATTCCTGTATTTTACTATTGGTTCTCGTTGAAAGACAGTAATCATACTAAGATTTTGTCTGCTGTGACATTAACATAAAAGCTGAAATAAAATGTTCTAATATTTTATCTGGAGACAAACATATTCATTAAGAAAACACAACCTTTTAACAATATTTTATAGGTGAATGTAATGAATACAAATTTAATAAAATTTTTGGTATTGGTATTTGTATGGCACTGTGTTACGGACAATGATCTAGGTGTCATAACACTGAATTAAAAGTTGAGAATTTCACCTCTTGTGTGAGCAGCCAGTAAATGGGCTCTGTCCTAGTCTAGCTTTCCCCAGGCATCAGTGATCATTATTTTTGGCTCCAGAGTGATTCTTCCTTTAGTGCTTCCTAAATAAGCCCCCTTGCCAAGAGAATGTGATCTGTGATGCTTTTTTTCATTTTGGTAAATTGAACCATTCCATTTTTTATGTCATTAGTAAATTAGTAACTTGCAAGTCAAGACGTTGTGAGCC